TGGCTCTCCTTCTTATAGTCCATGCCATGTGGCTCTCCTTTTTCTTATAGTCCATGCCATGTGGCTCTCCTTTTTCTTATAGTCCATGCCATGTAGCTCTCCTTCTTCTTATAGTCCATGCCATGTGGCTCTCCTTTTTCTTATGGTCCATGCCATGTAGCTCTCCTTCTTTTTATGGTCCATGCCGTGTGGCTCTCCTTTTTCTTATAGTCCAATGCATACAGATTTGGTGGTTATGTCTATCCACAGTCATGTCTACACCGCCCTAAGAAGTGGTCCATATAGGCAAAAAAGACAGAAAGATAGTCTCATTTGTGGAGAACCTGACGGTCACAGGACAGATGTATTCTATGAAATTCTATAAAGCTAGTGCGTTTTTGGCCTCTCTTAAACAGATATCTAATGAAGTCAATACTTGTCCGTCCATTACTATCATCATCCTCAATCCATCAATAGCCACACAGGCCTCTGACAATAGAAAACAAGTAAATAAACTGTTTTTGGAACCTGAAATGAATAATATCTCAGATTTACTAAGTCTTTCTTTATGAAGTGGTATGGTGGCCAGCTATCTTCCACAACTTCTTATTTGTGCATCACGTGAAGAAACTAAGGTCTCACCATGTAATATTCCTAAATACTGCAATGAGTATACCGTAGCCAACCTACGTTGTGGAGACGGCATCATTTTTTTTCCCTTTAATATTTAAAAACTCACCATTCAAAAGCAAATCTTATGAAATGTTTCTTATGTTCAATCACAAGACAAGTGGAGAAGAAAAGAGAGGAATGGGAGAGAAAGACAGAGAGGTAGGAAGCGAGAATGAGAGGGGATTAAAATAATTTTTTTTGTGTAAAAACACCCAGCACCAGAAAATCGGTATTGTGATGTAACAATGTTAATTTATGCGTTGCAAGCTGACTTGTGATAAACCAGTAGGCAGGGGAAGCTACTGCTAATCATGATATTTACTGACACCCAGACAGGGAGATAATCTATGCTGTAATTACTAACATGATGTATTCATTAACAAACATGCAGCATTGTTACTACTGTAAACATCTATTCTCTGGCAGACATTCCTAGCTGTAGCAATCAGTAAATCCTTCTTGCAATATCATTAACCACTGATTAATGATTAGCAAGGATTATCATTACAGCACTCTAAAAAGATCCGGATAGGTGCTCTGATCTCCTCAGTGGCCCTACAAGTGTAAAACAACTGAACACGCCTGTTCTGGATGATTAATTAAACATTTAGTGTCCTAGATGAAATGATTATTTCACGCAGCTTCAGGTCACAGCCCGATGTCTATCAGACTGGACAGGGATATGGAGTCATGTCTTTTGCCGTATTCATCTTCATGTTGAGTGCTGAGCAAAACGGTGACATCACTTCCGTCCACAAAGAAGAAGCTTCTGTCCACCTCCAGACCAGCCAAAGTCTGCCAGATAATCTGTATGCTTACTGCCTCAAATACAATACCCAATGAAATAAAAACCAATGAAGCAAACACATTTTTTTGCACATTTATAACTTCAGTGAATGTCAGCTGTTTTTATAATCTCAGCTCTGATAATTTCACATGTTTTCAATCTCAAACATAATCATAGTGTCAGCTGTGTCGATAATGTCAGCTGTGCCTATGTCAGCGGTGTCGATAATGTCAGCTGTGCCAATGTCAGCTGTGTCGATAATGTCAGCTGTGCCAATGTCAGCTGTGTCGATAATGTCAGCTGTGCCAATGTCAGCTGTGTCGATAATGTCAGCTGTGTCGATAATGTCAGCTGTGCCTATGTCAGATGCACCTATAATGTCAGCCGTGTCTATCATTCAGATGTGTCTTTAATGTAATTGCGCCCGTAATGTCGGATATGAATATAATGTCAGCCTTACCTATAAAGTCAGATGTGCCAATAACATCAGCTGTGCCTATGTCAGATGCACCTATAATGTCAGCCGTGTCTATCATTCAGATGTGTTTTTAATGTCAGATGCGCCCGTAATGTCAGATGTGCCTATAACATCAGCCGTGCCTATGTCAGATGTGTCTAAATAATGTCAGCTGCGCCTATAATGTCAGCGGTTACTATAATGTTAGATGAGCCTATAATGTCAGCTGTGTTAAAAATATCAGCCATACCTATAGTGTCAGCTGTGTCTATAATCTGAACTGTCTATGTCAGCTGTCACTATGTCAGCTGTGTTTAAAATATCAGCCATACCTATAGTGTCAGCTGTGTCTATAATCTGAACTATGTCAGCTGTCACTATATCAGCTGTTTTTAAAATGTAAATCATGCCTATAATGTCAGCAGTTTATAATGTTAGTCATGTCTATGTCTTCTGTCTCTGTAGTGTCGGCTGTGTCTATAATGTCAGCCGTGTCTATATTTTCAGCGGTATCTATAATTTTGGCTGTGTCTATAATTTCAATTATGTCTATGGCAGCTGTGTCTTTACTGTCAGCGTGCCTATCAAATCTATGCCTAGCATTTCAGCAGCATCTATAATTTCAGCGGAACTTATCCTATTATTTCTGTTTTAGTTTGGCAATTTTTCAACACATTTCCATCTTGTAATACTGAACAAACATTAAGTTAACTCCCTTTTTAAAGAAAGTCTAGCCGCATAACGTTGGGCCTTGTCAGTGCCTGGCAGTCAGTAACGAGTTTAGTGAAGTATAAGAAACTAAACTTCCCTTTTCTCCTCATGGCAAAGAAAATAAACTGAAACATTATGGTTGTTTGACTCTGAACAATCATAACCCATAATTATTGTCAGAAAAAAAAGTGAGGCATATTGACACTCAAGATCTCATTAAAGAGGACAAACCTGTATGTGATGTTTGATTATCAACAGCAGTGTAATTTTGTTTTGCATCCCCAGTGCGTAAACATTTGCTCATTACTGGTTCAGCATTATTAAATAAGAAAATTGAGATTTATAAGGCTGTGGGTTGAACAGCCGGTTCAACAAAGAATATCTAGAAACATTCAAGAATCAGGGAAAATATGTTACAGATAACAGCTTGATTATGAAGGAAATCATTTACAGGGAAAAATAAACTTCACAGAAACAAACTTTCTTCATGAACTGGGGCACAAATAAACTGGTACAAAAAGTTTATGTAGTTCTCAAAAATATTATTATTAAAACAATGCAGACAAAATGATAGACAGACAGACAAACAGATAGACAGACAGATAGAGAGACACTCAGACATTCTCATTTGGGTTACCAGACCCCATTTTGGGGGGGGGGGGGGGGAAGTACAGACCCATTGCTTCTTAACATGCATGCTGTGAAAGACAGACAACTAATAAGGGGTTTGTTGAAATTGGATGTGTTGGGCTGAAAGGTGCAGATATCACAGCCTAGCTGTAAATCACAACACAATGTGTCCAATGCTCTTTTAAGGGTGAATGAAGAAGAAGAAGAAGACATATATCTCTTTCAGGTTGCTGTTACCTCAAGTCATTTTTTTCCAAAAAGTTACTGCTTTAATTTTTGAATCTTGGAGTTTGATGGGTTACAACAAAAAACACTATGGTCAAGAAGAGCTTTGTTTAACCATTTGGTCTCAGTAATGCTAATATTATGGACCACGATCATGTGGAAATTCTTGAGGACAAAAAAAAAATCCTAGTTGAGAAATAAGGATGTGTGCAATGGCTCGTCACAGAACTCTCATAACAATTTAATCCACCCGCACTCAAGACAAAACCGTTAGTGAAATCACAACAATCAGGAGCATCTATTGTAAAAAATACATAGAGAACGAGTAAACTGAGGAGTCACCCGCATTTAACTACTCTGGCACAACCTGTTAATGGGTGTTTTAAAATCGCCATCCACAAATGAGACTCTCTCACAGTCTCTAGAGTTACCAGGTATTTACCCCCCCCCCCCCCCCCCACTTCCCCGGTGTGAGTGGAAGTTAACTATCCAGCAGTAATCTGCCCATGAGTGCTTTAAAATCTCTGGTTGAATACAGGATGTGCATTCTTAATGTTTTCTCTCATGTTCTTCCATTATGTTAACTATTTTAGCATAATTATTACAGTTCTTCTATCACGTATTTGTAATATATTTGCTTCAAAAGACTTAAAGACTGAGACTGTTGTGTTCAAAACTTTGGGACTAACAATGTAAAAATCTTGATTGTCGGGGACAGAAATGTTGGATGTTTAATGTTGAATTAATTGACATCATAGCACTCAGGACACTCCCATAAGCGCTCTCTGCCCATCTTCAGCAGCAAACGAAGAGCTCCAATTCCTACGGTACCAGTAACGGACAGAAAGAGACATAATAACAAGTACTGTTTATTGTATATCTTCATTTAAAAATAATAAAACATATAATAAAGTAAGTAGAACAAATTCTCTCCATCCTAATATTTAAGTATTGTTCACCCTTCACAAGTGATGAAGACTACTCTGCATCCACACTTAATGGTCAACTATAGTGAGTATGAAGATCATTGATGAGTCCAACTCTCAAGCATGGACAGTTTTTGAGCATTGTGGACACAAGATGGAAGCTACAGCTGAGATGGAATTTGCAACACACCCTTTGGTCTGCCTCCATCTCTCTTCCATTTTTAAGTATTTGTATAAGAACACACATGTTCCAAATTGAAGTGGTCAACATATTAACTCATTAATTACTGAAGAAAAAAATATGCTGTGTCAAGTTTATTATTCTAGCATTTTAGTCAGAGATAGTTCACCTGTAGTTTGTCACACTTTCAAGACACTGGTTCTTGAGATACCTTACACATATGTGGATGAATTATGCTGGCTTTGTAAAATCTTTTTCCCAGACAGCATGTAGTACGGAGTTGTCAGCAGTTGATGATATTTAATGAATTAAGGTATGAACTAAATGCAGAGTTCTGAGTTTTCAAGCAAACTCTTCATGTTGTCATCACTCAGAAAACAGATTTGATCGCACTGTTCCAGTAACAATGACAGTAAGTGTGAACATGTGAACTTATTCATCGTCAATGACAATTACAGGAGCCTCACCACCAGTGTTTGAACCTGATGTTTCTGAAAAATAAAAATAAAAACAATATGAATGAAAACTTATATTTTATGTGAGAAATGACAACACAATGAAGTATATTCTTTTTCTCTGTGGCAAAGTATGAGAAGAAGTCAATAAGTAGGTCACAAATGGTTATGCAATGGCAGGAAAATGTAGTTTGTGGTTTCTAAAGGTCAGAGAATGTGCTGTTGTGCAATTTTCTTGGGGATGGGTGGGGCAGGGCAAAAGAGCTGCCTGCGCAGGACATTCATAGGGAAATGTTTCCAGTTTCTGCTGATAAATATTTATCCCTTAACCCTTTCCCTGTGCAGTGCCCAGGTTAGAATGCTTATGCTTTCCTGTGATAGAAAAACCCTCCATCCCTTGCCGAGGATCTTACCTAGGTCTCCTGCATAACAGCACAGCCTTGTGACCATTTGGCCAGCCACTCCTGTGGTCTAAAATGAAGGACACTTTTCCACACCTTCAGACACACTGGGCATATAGGGCTAGATCTATATTTTATAGACCTATCGCCACTCAGTGGGTGATGTGGTCAATATCACGCTAGCGGCCTTTACTTCCCACGACTTCACCTAGTACCTATTTAATGCTAGGTAGACCTGGGAGCCAACATTTTTTTTTTAAAAGTCAGGCTCCATCAGGATCTGAACCCTTAATCTTTGGATCCAAAGGTGAGAGTCTTGCTGCTACACTATGGTGATCTATGGTTTAGCACCAAGTCATTATTTACCTTAGTTTAAAATACTGTCGTAATTAGTTTACCTTACTTTCAAATGAAGTATAGGTACCCACCTCCATTTTGTGTGTTATCTTTTCCAGACTGCAGCATACGTACAACATCTTCAATTTTTGACTGTATTGCCTTAGCACTAGGACCTGAAGGGGCAGAACTTGATTTGCGTTTCTGGGCACCTGGATGTGTAGAAGCCATACTGTAGTCAACCTGAGTCTGGCTAGGATCTGATGAGCATTTGGTGAACATGTAATTCAACTGCGGGAAATACATTTCTAGATCATCCACTCTGATGATTTTATTGCATTTCAGTCTGTTGACTGGCAGGTTGTAATACTGGACAAAAGCTGCCTCTTCTTCAGGTGTGCATTCATAAAGATTTATCTTGAGGACCACCTGTAGAACTTTCACAAATTCTGTTAAAGGAACTGTGGGGAAGTAAAGCTTGGATACAGCCTCAACCAAGCAGAATCTTCCTTTTCGATGAGGTACATCTACATTGATGCATGATATGCTTTTACCATTTACCAGACATGCAGAAATTGTATGTGAAAAGTCTGAATTGGAGTGGGTGCTGTTAGTAGAATAGGAAGGATGAACTGTGGTGCTTGTATGAGAATTCGACGGCTCTAATCTAGTCTTTGAAGTGTTCTGATGAATTTTTGAAGAGCGTGACACAGGGTGTTTTAGAGATTCATTTCCTGTGCGATGATGAGTGATGGATCGTGATGCTGACAGACTATTATCTCCCGGAGACCTCTGATCCTGTGAATTATTTCTTTTAAAAAGAGAGCTGTCAAACTGGCTGACACCATAAGGAAAGGGCTGTGGGTTTGAATACTGTGATGATGGTGGAAGCCCAGGCATTGATGCAGCGTATTTTGCAATTCCTGCAGAAAGATCTGTGTGCATTGCCTGGGTGACCAGGGATCTTGCTGACATGCCAGTAGGGCCACGAAACATAGGGTTATTCAAGTCTGGCATAGGAGAGTTGGTGGAATGAAGCAGGGGGCTTGGTGGAAGACTGTGAGGTTGATATAGTGATGTATTTGGAGGGTCTTGTGTTATCGGTAGAGTTTCAGACCCAACTGTAGAGTTCAATGCACTGTTCACATGTGCTGGAGGTGGTGCTCTTGGCATCACAGACCACAATGAGCCTGCCAGTCCATGCTTGATGATGCTACTATTATCTATGCCTTTATCTGGGTATGTCTGGGAGCGTGGGCTTGATAAGCCCATCCCTGCATGAGACCGCTGGTAATGCATCACAGAAGGGGATCCAGGTTCTTGAAAACCTGATGATCGGGTACCACTTAAACTTCCTGACAGTTGTGAATGGTGAAAATTAGTCTGTGGAAATCCTGACGCATATGAGTTAAGTTTAGCCAGATTCACAGACATTTGATCCATGCTAGCCTGTGGTTGCCTTACAGCTGGTTGGGGCTGGTGATGGACAGTTGTCTTTGGGCTAACAGGATGAGACGGCCCCATAAGAGGACTGGTTGAAGGCTGGCCTGTGCGGGGATCTAGGTAACGGGCATGCTGAAGAGGATTTTTAAACGGCAACTCAAATAGCTGAACCTGGCATCTTCGCAGTACTTCTGTTATAGATATAAGACGTGTGTTCTTCCCAAACAGAAAATCAAAACCTGCAACCCTGCAAGCTTCATTCAGCATTGCACACTCCTGTGGGGTGGGTAACAAGCCATCCACACTGGAGTTGGATAGAAGTCCTGCAGCGTAAACAATCACTGAAACAGGCACAAGTTTTACTTGTACTCCACTATCAAATCTAACAATGTATGGGGAAACTGTGTTATTGATCTGCAGCCACCCACAGAACTGCGACAAATCTGGTTTCACTGGCGATGGCATAGCTGGGGGTGCTGGCTCTTCATTGATTTTTGCCAGAACATCGGCTGGAAATGTCTTTTTCACTATCTTAAAGAATTCCTCAAACTCTTCTAGATCCACGATCAGGTCTTTCACAGTAAATGGGTTGTGCCCATATTCATAGTCACAGTGAGTGGTGTTGATCTCATTCAGTAAGCTAGCCTCGGCTTCTGTAATGAAGTAGCTAACCAAGGGATCTTTCTTGCCCAGTTCATCAGGAAAGGTGTTTGGATACTTGCTCAGAAGCTTGCGTTCTACAATACGCACTGAAACAAACTTCCTTTGATTTCTCAGAAGACATGGAATATTTGTATCATCCACAGTCTCCCATCCAAAAATACCCTTGATGCTCTCACTATCAACAGGTTCTCCAGTGTCAGTGTTCTGTCCATTCTTCTGACAGTTCTGTTCACTCTTTTCAGAGGGCAATGAGTTGCTTGGAATCTGCATGGGTTCCCTGTGTTCTTGTGGAGCTACATATTGAGACAGGTTCTGAACTCCTCCCCCAGAGCCAGGCTGCTGTAGAGCTAAACCACTGCTCTGCAGAGATTCTGTTTTCACATTTGTTCTAGCAACTGAACGGCCCTGTTGTGATGAAAGAAAAAAATATGTTTCAGTCACAAATAAAAAGAGCAGTTTTAATTCATAAAGAACTTCACAAAATTAAGAGAGCTGTATCCATAAGCTTCAACCGGAAATTAAAACTAGGAGAACGGCAAAGTATTTTTCTCTCACTCACCAGCATCCACTCACCCAAACTGTAAACTGTGTATTGTTAAAAGGTGAAAGGTGTCACAGCTTAGGTGTTATTCCATTTGGCTTGGTCTCTTTCCACATATGAAAAAGAACGGCTAGCTCCATGAAGCCCAGCATGCTAACCATTGGCCAGCCGAATCTCCAGATTTAGACTTGCCACTTTTGGTTTTTGTTAGGATTTATTTCAGTTTGACCTGCTAGACCAGAAGTTGTAGTATTTATGAATGAATATTCATCATTGAGAACATCACAAAGTTGCTCCCATCACAGACCTCTGCAAAGTTTATTTCCTGCCTAATGTGTTTTCATTCCCACAGCATCTATCTTTATACTGTCGACTCCTCTCTCCATTTATATTACCCTTCCCTGACACACTATCAGACTCTGACAACAAGAACCATTATGGTGTTGCTTTTCCACCCACAATACAGTTACCTTTTCATATAAAGTACCCTTTCTGAAACATCCTCTCTTGTTCATTACGCTGTTACATTTTCATATAAATTACCTCTTTTTCTTCTTCTCTGCATTCACCGGCTAACAACTCTGTTTGTTCATCCACTTTTGGACATTCATCTTGTTCCAGAACCTGAGTTTTGCATCCATATTTATTTTACTGATCTGGCTTATTTGTATGCAGACTCTTGGTTCGTTGCCTCTCAGGCAGATGTATGAACTCCTGACTTTGAAGGAAAATTACCCTTCCTGACACATCAACACTATCTGACAACAGCACTTAATATGAGGTTACTCACTCACTCACTCACGCACAAAACCTATCCACCATATATTTCTCAAAACATTAGTAGAGGAGTAAACTCTGAACCTCTATCACGCAATAAGCTCAACTTATTCAACATCTATATTTTAACAGATGTGCAGCAATTTTTTTCTCCACAATAAGGTTCTTAAACAAAATGCTCAGTGTCAAATATCCTGTTGTGCACTTTCTAGAACCCTACAATGTATCTCCAGTGACAATAAGGCTGGATGTTTGTTTTTTTCCCCCACATGAAATCACACAATGCATCAAATTACACTACACCAGGCTCTAATTTATATCAAGAACAGCCTTGAATGAAGACCAAATTATATAACACATTAGTAAGAGCACAGAGAGGATCCTTACATCTCCCCCAACTTTTTGATGAGGTAACTGAAGAAACAGATGAAGAACAAGGTGAGAGTTCTGACACCCAAGAAATTCCGGGTTTTATTACCAGCTGTGACAGTGGAATGTTTACTAGTCAGTACCATTGCGGACCTATTTAACTGTCACACAGTGTATTTGAGAACAAACGAACAAACTTTATTTTCAAAGGGTCACAAATTGGGCACGCAGACACGTCTTACATTCAGCCCTTTCAAGAACCAACCTTTCACACAGCAGTTGTATTTTATCAATAAAGCATGTTATTTCATATAATAATATACCCATTACGAATATCAAGAAAAAACACGTTAGTGGTAAAAATGCATGCGCACACACGCTCACATGTATACACCCACTCACTCACACACACACCCACATACATACACACACACACTTGCATACATACAAAGAGATATATTGGAAGTGTTATGATGGCCAATGCCTGAGAAAAAGGTTGAACATAAAATGGGATGGATTCAATAGGGGTGGAGATTAAGAGAAATGTGTGGTCAACCATTGATAACAACAGTTTATAAGACAAAGATGGCGCTATATTGGATACATCCTGAGAAAAAAAAAACCAGCAGAGAATCACTAAATAGGTATTAAAATGGGAAATAAAGGCACTTAGAAAGGGGTGATGCCCAAAAGAAACCCTAAAACAAACACTGATTAGAGACCATGGGTGTTGCACTGGATTCCATCCATGATACTAAACTGATTGCACAGAATAGAATGGAAAGAAGGAAGAGATATAAGTAACATATAATGGCACAAAAGGAAAAAGATATAATAAGGAAATGATAGCCCATTAATTAGTTATGTGTCGTCTGCACAGGACAGAATGGAAAGAAGGAACAGATATAAGTAACATATAATGACACAAAAAGAAAAGGAGAATGATATGATAAGACAATGATACCCATTAATTAGTTATGTGTCATCTCCACAGGATAGAATGGAAAGAAGGAACAGATATAAGTAACATATAATGGCACAAAAGAAAAAAGATATGATAAGGCAATGATAGCCCATTAATTATTTTTGTGTCGTCTGCACAGGACAGAATGGAAAGAAGGAAGAGATATAAGTAACATATAATGGCACAAAAAGAAAAGGAGAATGATATGATAAGACAATGATACCCATTAATTAGTTATGTGTCATCTCCACAGAATAGAATGGAAAGAAGGAAGAGATATAAGTAACAAATAATGGCACAAAAAAGAAAAGGAGAATGATATGATAAGACAATGATACCCATTAATTAGTTATGTGTCATCTCCACAGAATAGAATGGAAAGAAGGAAGAGATATAAGTAACAAATAATGGCACAAAAAAGAAAAGGAGAATGATATGATAAGACAATGATACCCATTAATTAGTTATGTGTCATCTCCACAGAATAGAATGGAAAGAAGGAAGAGATATAAGTAACATATAATGGCACAAAAGGAAAAAGAGAAAGATATGATAAGGAAATGATAGCCCATTAATTAGTTATGTGTCGTCTGCACAGGACAGAATGGAAAGAAGGAACAGATATAAGTGATATATAATGGCACAAAATGATAAGGAGAATGATATGATAAGACAGTGATAGCCCATTAATTATTTTTGTGTCGTCTGCACAGGACAGAATGGAAAGAAGGAACAGATATAAGTGATATTTAATGGCACAAAAGGAAAAGGAGAATAAAATGATGAGACAATGATAGCCCATTAATTAGTTATTTGTGGTCTCCGCAACAAAGGTTGGCTACAGTGTACTAGCTGATAAATTTATGACTTAGTGAGGCCCCTATCTCTTGGACAGTGTGACTCCTGTGCTGTTGCCCGAAAACAATGAAAACGTTTTTAAAATAATCCACGACCCATTTCAAACCCTAGTGCTCAAGGATCATGTAATTGTTTAATGCGTTCACTAACTTTTAAGTCAAAGAGCCTTACCACACCCCATATTTTAATGTAAGTGGTGTTAATATTTACACACTTCCCTTCTGAAAAAGTCATGAAGTAATGGGTCATATGATACAGAATTTTCACTGACACGTTTGTTATTTCCTTTTAAATGTTTCGAATGAAAAATGTAAAGCTGGAGAAATCATCTTGAAAACTTAGTGACAACTGGTAAATGGGACGGGGACAAACAGCAAGGGGAAGAAGACAAAGGGATAAAAACTTAGATTATTCAATCAGGTGCTGTCTCCACAATAAAGGATGGCTGCAGTGGATCTCCATCACTCTCTGCTTCTTATCCTGATATTAAACTCTCTCAGATTGCTGTTCGTCCATCATTTGATGTCCTCCCACTTGTATTAGTGTCTACCTCTTGCTCTCTCACCATAAATGTTTTTCCTCCAGTATGATTTGCAGAAGAGTGTTACATCTTTTAATGTGGCCAAAATATTTCCAATCTATTTTTTAAATTCTTCCAGTAACTCTTTTTATTTGCACTCTCTACCAAATAAAAAACTGTATTTGACTTTTTGCTTCCATGAAATATCGCCTATTCTTATGTATATATAAAGAATCAATTAAATAATCTAGTAGTCCAGGTTTCTGCACTATACAGAAGGGCTAAGTATGCAAAACATTTGACGCTTCCCATATTTAATGTGTTTATCTCTCCGGCAGTTGCAGCACTAACCACTCTGCTCTCATGTCTGTTTTTATTTACATTATGTTTTTCATTTTTTTTCCAAAGATTATACAGCTAAAGAATTTCTAAAATCTATAACAACGAAACAAACAAATAGCTGTTTTCTGTACTGCTGCTAAAACAAACATAAAGCAGACTGAGCTGGTAAAATACTCAAACATATAAACGGAAAGATGAAACAACCATACCAATAATATTCCAACAGAATATAAAATGACACAGCAATCATGTAAGAACAACTTTTTTCAGACTGCCACACAAAATGATGAGATGCCTCCTGGCTCATGCCATGCACTGCTAATCAAATGGGGATATTAATGTTGGCTTTTATACCAGTGCTTTCAACAGATCAATGGTAGTTACAGCAATTATGAAAAGATCACCATGGAAAACTGCATTATGCCGTAAGGGGATAATCAATAACATCTCAGAAACCTGTACACAAGTTTCACCACAACCTTCATGGCTATTGACATCTGCATAACAGATATCTATCATTACAGCAATCATCTATGCTTAGAGAAATTATAAAGTGGGCAGCTACAAGCAATGGTAACTCCTGAGTGCTTGAAAACTCCACAGGGTTTTTTATGATCGCGGAGATAAGTGTTAGCAATAACCGGTTTTTATTTGACATTAGACAATGATTGACATCTTAGACAAGGTAAACATGATTTGCCCTCCAGCAATTATACTTTACTGTAAACATTATTCTGTGGTACTAAAACTGTTCTTCCGTGTGTGCCTGCTGTTTATTCCCTCAGGGCTGGTATCTGAAGGTTTGACACCCTGAGATGAAAGATCAACAGGGCAAATTCCAGATACCCCATACAACTGCGCTATTTAACTGGCTACCTGCAGTCC